CCTCAGCCCATCGCTCCAGCCTGTCCAGGTCAGTATGTATCACTACATTGCCCACCTAGACAACACACCAAATACGTAGCACTCACGCCTCCCAAGTTTGTGCATGTGTGTGCATACGCACATGTGGATATTGTGCGTAGATACCACCTTCCCCACCCCCCCCCCCCCCCCCTGCCTCCCCTTTGGCTTGCACTCCTGTAAAAGTAGCTGGAAATGGCACTGGTGCTAAGAAAACTGCTATAGATACAGTACCAGGATGACAGGATTCTGCGCCTTGGCTATAAAGTCAACGTTGATACCTCCAATCACCACCTTTAAGAGGGAAGAAAGAAGTAAAAAGTGGTTGGAAGGACTTAAGGAAAAAGTTTCCAAGTCTTCTTTGCTTTTCCCACCCTCTTGAAAGCTATCTAACTTACAGTGGGAAGGCCAGTGCTTATTGTGGATGGCTAGATACAGGTCAGTACAATCTAGATGAGAAAGTATCAAAATCTCTGCTGTATGTTGCTTCCTGAATTATGGCTGGCAGAGCCAGCCCCAGCATGGCAGGTGGGGTGTTACTCTGTGCATATATGGGTGCTGACGGTTTCTCTCTGTGGTGATAAAGTAATGTAAGACATTGCATGGGTCTGGTCATGTCAGTGCGCTTGAAGCCATCCCTCTTGGGACAATTTGTGACATACCAAACCTCAGAAACATTCAAGCACTGCTGTGTCAGAAAGCAAAGAAAACGGGGGAGGGGAAAATAGGCAGAAAAAAGCAGTCTTTTCTTACAGGCTCCCAGGAGATGCTGCCATATGCAGTGACACTTTATGGATCACTGTCTTATTGTCCTACAAAGCCAGAAACAGCAGTACAGCTCCACAAACAGGAAGTTTCTAGATTCTTTGGGGTCATACAGCTGTTTTCTCTCATTCCATCAAATGCTGGGTTATTGTCTCTGAAGACACTGCCCTCTTTCATGTTGGCAAATCCTATTGCAAATGCATTTTAGAAATTTTTTCAGCTCTCAAAAGACTACCTAAAATAGATTTCCTGTAAATTACGCGGCACATAAAATCAAAGATAGTGAGTAGAGCATTAGATCTTGTTTGGGATATGCTGTACCTATTGTAGTTCTGGCAATCATGAGCAGGAGGTCAACAAAAATAGATATTTATAAAATGTGTATGGCTCAGCAGCTCAAAATATCTCCCTCCACCCTCTTTCAGGTCTGTTCCTGTAGTCATGAGTTCCCTGGCACTGAGAGCAATACAGTTGAAGTTGTACATAAGGGCACAGTAAAAGGTGAAAAGGTGATTAAAGTTTTAATGGATTTGATGGTCTAAGACTTGATTGGATTAGACCACTGTCAGCGTTTATTCCCTGCAAATGTGGATGGGGGAGGAGGAGAGCATATTTATCTGAGAAGAATAAAAAAAATACGAGAGAGAGACTGAATGCCAGTGTGAAGCAGAAAGATTAGTCTCTGTCTGAGTCACCTTTTACTTTTGGGAACAGATATAAATTTATCCTGTGCTGTCAGCAGAGAGGCAGCAGGGAACTCACTGGCTGGGGTGGGGTTGTGTCCTCTCGCCGAGGCAGGTTGCCCTTCCTTCTGGCTTTCTGTAGTTTGCTCAGGGCCACTGCAATGCAGCTGCCCACTCTGGCATTGTTCTGGATCAGAGCAAGGTCTGTTTGGCATTTCTTTGAGGAAAAGAAAAGCATACCATCAAGATCAACCTGTCAGAAGCTTATGTAGGAACTGCCTAGAGGGAGAAAGCAGAAAATACATGCTTCGAGATATAGATTTGGCTGCCCTGTACTGTAATCCTTTGGGAGCATTGCATGAACACCCTAAATTTTTTAATTCTTTCACCTTCCTTCTCCCGTGTGCAGAGAAAGGAAACCTGCCATCTCCATTTGACAGGTAGGGAACAGAAGCAAAGGCTTCAGAGAGAAAAGAGAAGGTGAAATGCTTAAACTAGAACCAAGAGTCTAACAACCTCGAAGGATCTTGGCCAGCTTTTCCAGAGAGATGCCTACCACTATTTTTGCCAAGTCTCTGTAAGCAAGTTTTTTATCAATTTCACCAGATGCAGAGTATCAGAGGCTTTGAAAGCCCCACTTGGTGGATGCGTACAGTTTTAATATCCAAAAATGCTTTTACCAATATGCCCTGACTGACCAGGCCTCCTAGAGGGCTGGCAGCAGAGCCTGGATGTGAACCTGGCTCTTGCAGCTCCTACAATGGCATCCCAGCCAGCAGATCTGCCTACCCAGGGGGTGTTTTCTTTCCAAGTTTCTCTTACTCTGCATCCACATGAAGAGTTGGATAAGGTGGTGCAATGTGCAGTGCAGTGCTCTGGGAAGCCCAGGTGCCTTCCAGTGTGCAACCCCACCATGGAGCAGTAGTGTCCTGAGATTCCATCACAGACCAGGCAAGCTCGAGGATTAGATTTGAGGGATCTCTTTGGGCTCTGGACCACCTGCTCTGGGCTGGCCTCTGATTTTAATGCAAAAGTGGATTAAGACAGTAATGATGCTTTGGAAAAAGCAGGATGCACTTGCTAAGCTCTCATTTGCCTGCAGATACTGAAGTGTTTGCCTCTTGCTAGACTGTCAATAAAGTGACAGCATTTTCCACTGAATATTATGAGGAGAAATATGAGGTACACTGGAGTACTTTTTTCCCCCCATTCAGTAAAAGGATACTGGAATCCAGTGATTTCCCATCAGTTAATTCACTGAGCTTCTGTAACATAAAAGGGGTCAGTTCTTTGCCTGTGATCCCTTTGGACCTGTGAATGTAGAGAGAATGCCTGCAGATGAGAAGGACTGAGCTGAAACAGCATCAGAGGAGAAGCACTGCTGCCAGCAGATAATTTATCTCCATAACTACATACCATAAAAAATCCTGTAAACAAGCTTCAGGTTAGATAAAACTACAGTTGAAAGCATGTTGTGGGCTCACCCGTGCCCAACGTTAAGCTGTGCTACAGCTGCTGCAGCAATGTCCCTGAAGTTATTTACTTCCCCGAGACCACTGGGTGAGCAGAGGACAGAGCCCAGATTGCTTCTCACCTGGCTTCACTGAGAGCTTGCTGGATGGCATCTTCAATGACCTGGCCAGAGGCAGCTCGCTCCTGGGGACAGGGCACTGCTATCAGCACCCCACTGCTCAGGCCCAGCTCCAGAGCACTGGCTGGGAGAAGACAGGCAGATCATTAGGGGTTCTCCTTGAGTAAATCAAATGCTGAAGGGAAAGGACAGAGAAGAGTCGCCACAGAGCGGAGGAACCCACAGAACTGGAGCTCCTGTTCTTAGCTGACCCAAGGACTGGGTCTTTTCAAGCTACCAACCAATTTACATCTGCCTATTTCTTCTGAGTCTGTCTGTATAATAAAAGGGGCAAGGAATTATTTTTCTTTTAAAGAAGACTGATTCCACTTCTGAAGGCCCAGAAGATGGTTTTATAAGCACATTAACATATGTGTTCACTCCACCAGTGTGAATAAAACACGTGTGAGCATGCCAAGGTGGCTGCAGCTAGCTAAAACTTGCTGTAAAGACTGAACTTCCCTGCTCTTTTATTTTCGAAGCACTGAAGCATGAACGGGGGAAGTGGGATGGCTTGGTTTTGGGGACAATCTCTTCTCCAAAGTTAGAAAAGGAAAGTGCCTCATCCAAGGTGATTTTTGCGCCTCTCTTTTCCCAGAGCCCTGCATAAACCTTTCCCTTCTGAAACACACCAATGAGTTGAGCTGCCTCCTCTTCATCCCGGACTTGGTATGGTGCCTGAAAGCCGCTCTGGCATGTGAAGAAGGCTGGGAACTCCCTTGACTCTCCAAAGGCAGCCACGCAGACTCCCTGAGTCTCCTGAAGCAGTGGAGGTGAGACAAGCAGGTAATTAGCAGAGGGGAAAGAGACCGGACAAAAAAAATGGGGCTTCTTCCTTCTACCCAGCTAGAAACTGCCTTTCTTAAGCACAAGGTTTGGTTATTTTTATACATCCCATTCAATTCCATTCTATCACCAACATTTTTCAAAGTAAAGAGCCAGGCATGGTAACTGGTTGGACAGAATTTGGCTTACTAAGAGAGGCACGTCTTCTGCTTGTGCTTGAAGCTGATCAAAGGCCACGCAGCTGTCATTAGTGCAATACTGAGGCCAAGGTAACAACCCATGATCTGAACAGATGTCATGAGCTGGCAGGAATATAAGTGAGTTTTGTTTTAGAAGTATTGGTGTTGGCTGTCACCTGAAGTGCTGGCACTGGTGGTTTCCAACATGCCAAAGCTTAAAAAGCAACTCTACTGAAAATCATCTTGATTCCCATTTTAATCCTGATTTTATTTTAGTGTTTGATGGATCTAGCTCACCTGATCCATTAGTTCTGGAGCGTTCTCCCAGGAAAAACAAGTCTAAGACCAGAGAAATAGGTCATGGCTAACACTGCCTTTGGCCTCAGTTGGAATAGCTTCTGGAACAGCCCTTTGGGCATGGATAGATTTATGTTAGGGAGCAGCCCAATGCTTGTGTAGCCCCAGAAGTAGAGAACTGTAAATATGTCTTCATGTTCTCTCAACAGCAATTTCTAAACATATTAGGCTTAATACCCACCCCAACACCACTGGACATTCTGTACACGAAGTACAACATTATCTGCTTTCAGGCTCAGCACAGCCCATGCTACCTACCAGATATTCCAGTGTCCTGCCAATATCAAGGATAGACTTGACTCCTGCAGATACAACAGCAACTGGAGTTCGTCCCAGCTCTGTCAAGTCAGCACTCACATCCAGAGCTGTCAAGGTACAAGCAGCCGTTGTGTGGGTGATTGTGTTGGGTACTTCAAGCCGATGTCATCTGCCCTCTTAAAAAGCCATATCCGCCTGGGCTGTCACTGCCTGCTTTTGTAACCACTTAGATCCAGAAGCAAATATTATAGGTTTACAACATGCTCTTACGTATTGAGTTTGAAAGAGATATTGACAAAAAGAAGTCACATAGCTTAGGGCAGAGATGCAGCACTGTATCTCTCGGCTCTTTGATCACATCAACAAACAGCAGTCAAAAATTTGATAGAAAAGAAAGAAGAAAGTGTTATACAGCAAGGACAAAGTTCAGGGAAATGGAATATAATTTAAGTAGATTTTGATTTTTGTCTTGATGTCACTAGCAAAAAAAGCACCACAGGAGGCTTGCTGATCTCAGGAAACCCCCTGGTCTAGAATTTACATCTCATCTGAAAGAGATGGCATTCAGCAGGGCAGTGCACTTAAACCTTGCTAGGAATAAGCATATTATGCTAGGCTAAGAAGAGAGAATGTACTTAAAGTTCCCAAATTACACAGCCAAGGCTGGGCCATTTTCCAGACAGGAGCATGCACCTCTAACTCGGACCAGGGCCTAAGTTTGCTTTGTGACTCCGCTTCTGAAAGAGAGTCGATAACAACGCTGTGCTCAATAACCAGTATCAGGTTATCCAGCCATGACAAACTGGAGAGTCAGCTCCTGTTGCAGCAGCAAATGATATCCATATAACCCCCTGTAAGCAAGGATAAAGAGAAACTGCCACCCTCTTAACAACTGGCACATGCTCAAGAGGAATATTCTGAAGTTTCTGGAAAAGAGATATTGGAGAGAAAACAACCATAGTATGGTCAAAAAGAATGATAACTTTACTCTTTTGAGTGGACAGTTACTGCAGCACAGAAAGGGAAAAAGGGAAAAGATGGAATTAAATAAAACAGGATCAACATGGAGAAAAGTAGAACGTATTGATTTTCTTACTGCTCTCTCCTCCTCGATGGACACCTCCTATGCCACCTGTCACAAACACGGGGATTCCTGCTTTGTGAGCGGCAATCATTGTTCCGGACACGGTAGTGCCACCGGACAAGCCCTGTCAGGGGACAACCAGTCACAGTCAGCACCCAGGGTGGCCTGGAGAATACCACATGCAGGCAGCTATGATTTGTGGTCTATCACACAGCAATGTCACAACAGTCTGCTGTTACCAACTGACAAGTGAAATTCTGATATAATATTCTACAAGGGTAAAGTGCAGAGCAACCGCTGTCCTTGCTACATAAGTCATTCTTGCCCTGATGATAGCAAAGACCTTTCCAACCAGAAGGCTTCATGGGCAGCCAGGGTCACCTTAAATAAGCACAGTGTGCATTACTCGAGATGTCCTGCGTGTCACATAGTTTACATGTAATGTGATGATGCCTTATCATGCCAACAAGAATATTCCTAGCCAAGTGCTCATGGCTTGCCACCCGATCCAGAATGACTTTTCAGGAGCTCTATTTCATGGCTGCTATTTCCTTACTCTGTTGCATTTTGACTCTAGATAGGACTATGTTTGAGTTTACCAATTAGATACCACTTTACACGATATTTTCAAGAGATTTAAAAGCCACTCAGCTTGAAGGTGTAGAGCACTACACTATTGCTGTGTAGAAAGCACCACATCAGAAAATCTGCATGGCGTACCTGGCTAAGTACATAAGGGAGATCCCTCCGAGACACTTTAACTACATTTTTACTGCTTGCCAAGAACTCAAGTTCCTTTTCTGTCAGTCCCACGTGGATTCGTCCTCTTAAAATACCTATAGTGGCTGGCACTGCTCCGTTTGTTGTTACAATCTCTTCCACCTCTCTGGCCATGCTAGAATAAGAGATAAAAGAAACAAGACAACAATCACAAAATTAGTGAGGTAAATGGTCAGACAAGAAAGTTGCCATGTTCGATGGTCACCATTCCCAGTTTCCAGTGTTATACAGTTCTTGTGATTTCAGTTAAGTCCAGTTGCTCTGTATCTCCCTAATGGCAGAAGTTTTTCCACTTGAATTTGCAGAAGTGCAGAGCTCCCACTTCCAGGTCAGCAATATCCAAGCTCTGTGCTTCATTTCTGAGAAAAAATCATTTGTTTTACAGGCAAACCTCATTGTACAACAACCTACTGAAAATAGGAATCCTCTCAAAATAGGACCGTTTTGCATCATCTGTTATTTCTCTGAGATCCTAGAACTTCACAGAAACCCCAGGCAATTCAAGCCCTGCTCAAATGACCAGGATATATTTTTCACAATACAGGCACTTAGATATAGAGTAAGAACAGTGCCAGAAAGCTGCAACCTGAGGATACTCTAGGCCTGCAGACTAGGTCTTTCTAAGCTTTGCAGGTTTTATACTTGATCATTCATACACTATCCTTTTTAAGAGCAGCAGCTTCTCCCTTTCTGAGCTATCTGTATATACACTAGGCAATCTTTAACTACTGAAACTACCTCCTCCCCGAAAGTGAATTTTCAGAGCTTCATTCTAAGATCGAATGTCAGGCAAAATAATGCCTGGGTTAAAAGCAAGGTGGAAAATCAATACTAAAACCTTCCTGTGCTTTCTGGAAGCAGGGATGGAGAGGAGAGTGCAATGATTTCTGGCACTGTAACTCAGTGAAACACGAATCTACTGAACGTTACTAAATAAAGGGTAGAGGTGATTTTTTTGTGTGTGCAGGGCACAGAAGGCAACGAGTGTCCAGCAGCTCTCACAGTAGCTGCTCTAAGTGGGTCTAAGGAACGGATTTCACTATTGTGTCTCACTCTTTTTCATTACAAAAGATATACTAAAAGGAATTGCAGAGTGTTTTCACTGTCTGCACAAACTACGCAGCTAAAAACGCTGCTAGATCTTAGAGCAAGTGATGACATTATCTGCTGCCACATTTTAAAAGAAGTCAGAAATTGAAGGTGTTGGATCAGGAGATAAATAGGTAACATGTGTGTCGTATAGTTCTGCTCTCCTTAGAAGTCCAGATATACTTGGTTTACACCAGAGCTCATATTCTGCATGCCTGGTACCCTGACGTTTCCACATGCTCTTACAAAGTTTTGGGTTGACCAAGAATACCGATATCAATCTACCAGTTAGATGCCTCATTCATACAACTTCATGAACTAGGAACACCAAAATCCACCACCTCAGATTCTGAGGATAGGCCATGCCATGTGTAATGATGGTGCTTTCCAAGGCTACAACTGGTCTCCCCTCCATCAGGGCTTCCTGTACAGAGGGATGAATCTTGAAATAAGCACCTGAGGATAAACACAGAAAAGTGAATTATTTGTGTGGGTATTTGCAGCAATTACTGAGCTGTTTTATAAAAGGCAAATTGTCATCACAATAAATTTATTCCCCTCTTCAGTAGGTTTCTGGGGTGAGTTCATAAATAACTTCAGGAAGACTAACGCTGTGTTTTATACAAGTGCAATATTTATAAAATAACTCTACTGTTAATATGAATAATAATCCTTATAATCATCACGGAGGGCTCCTCTGATACCATTTTTGTAGCTGGGTTGTCATTGGCTTCAGTAACATTACTTCAGCATTACCAGAAATGAACCAAGCCCTGCAACCATTCCCCAAAAAAATGTTTTAAGGGTGGAAGCACCAAGGAAACCATAGTAACTCAATATATTACAAGACTATCATGCATCAACTATCATGCATCAAGCCTACTGTTGCTCGTTTCTTTGCTCCCAGAACACTGTTAGCAAGGTACTTTCTGCATTCGGATGAGGAAGATTATTTCCACGCAGTAACAGTTTCAGAATACACTACTCACCATGCAGAAATCTTCTCACCTGGGTGGTCCCACATGCCAAAGCGGACACATGTCTTTCCAGGCTATGGGTTATTTTCCTAATCATCATGTGCATGTGGAGGGTCCTGAGACAACAAAAGTCATGTAGGAATGAAAGGAGTAATTTTGCAATGATGTGACTGTGTGAAGCTAAACATATCATCTCTTGTCTTGATCTTGGAAGATAAACAACCCTAGTTCAGATTGCCTGGAGATTCTTGGTTTTTTAAGCACGAGTCAGGGTGTCAAAGCAAAATGTTAAGCCACAGAAATGGAGTTGAAAGACTTCACCTGGCCCATTTTTAATGCTGGGCTTAAATCCTGGTGGAGCCAAGGAAAGGATGATGAATAATGAACTAGAGAAAGTTTAGGAGTAGAAAACCTTTTAACTTTCAAAGCTACATGCTCATGATACATTGCAGGCTCAGCCACTGCTACCTCCAACCTGAAAGATCCCAAGGAGAAATCTCCAAGGCAGGCACAGGCAGAGGAATGCTATAGAGATGGAACCTTTTTTTTGCTGGTGTCTAGGAGGAGAAAAGCAGTTCAGTCAAACAAAGAAAGGGGCCGAGAGCTGGTAAACCAGACTGTAACTACAAGGAAGAAAGAGCAGCTTTCCACAGAGTCGTGGGGCTTTATGCAGGCTCACGTTACATCATCATTCTTAGCGCAAAGCCTTGGAAGCAGAGTGGCAATTCAGCCCCGGCAACAAACTCCAGAACTCCTCTGGTCTCTTAGCAACTCCTATTCATTTTAATTAAATTCACTCCCAAACAGAGAGAGAGGGGGAGAGTTGTAAAGGGTAAAAGACTGGTCTGGTCTGGGCCTCAGGGCTGTTTCACTCAATGCCTGGCTGCTCCACATATTTTCCCTGGGCGTTTGGCCATATGCCTCGAGCACTTCTGTTCCTCACCCCTTCAACAGCAGGAAAGGATTTATTTCTTCAGTCCTTTGTACCTATAGTTAATTTAGATGGCAAATTAATTGGAATACATTACTGTGTTCATGTTACACTTGGCAGAACATGGCACTGATGTCGGTACAGTGTGTGGCACCACAGCTGTACAGAAACATCTTATACCCAGGAAGAGTATTTTTGCCTACATCTAAAGACTTCAGCTATGCAGGACAGCTTGGGTTGTGTAATGCTGGAGAAGAGGGACCAGTTCAGCTAGGCATCTCTCAAGCCATCAGGATAGACACTGTCATAAAAAGAAATATACACTTGCCTGAAACTGTTAGGATTGTTTTTCACTTCCCAAATTCTTTTAAAAGACAAAAATCTTAGAATCATATAATGGCACAGAAGTGGCAACAGCTCTTCCTTCTGTAAGAGGAACTACTCCAGAAGCCTGAGCGGTTAAATGTTCTGGTATCGCGCTGTGTGTGTGTGTGCGTGTACACACTCCTCGCTCTCTGGGGCAAAGTCGGCTTTGGAATAAATTAATTAAGCCAACAAGGTTACGCCAAGGATCGGTTGAACTGCTTGAGTTGTGCTCTGAATTTTAACAACCCCTCAAACTCTGAAATGCAACAGCCCCAAGCTGTGCTGGCTGGTGGATAAAAACCAGCTGGTCCCCACCTGAAATCCAATATGAATTAGTTGATGTTTGCTGGAAACTCGGCCAACACTCAGCCTGAGCCAGCTGAAAGATTTTTGAAACCTGGCAAGTTTTGCAGCGAGACCCATCTGACCTTTTGCCTTCTAACGAAACTTTGCAGATTCCCAGTGCCAATTCCAGGCATCTCCAGCACAGACCGGCTTTCCTCCCGCCTCCAAACCGTCCCTGCTTGCCTCCCCTCAGGATCCATCCATTGCATCCAACCTCATGGAGCAATGGCCTGGAGTTTCTCTTACCTCTGGGCGTCTGTCTCCTGTAGGGAGCTTGAGTGGGTTCTGGAGTGATGCCTGGGCAGCCTTGGGAAAAGGAGGGAGGAGGGGAGGCCAACAGCAGCACGGGGCGTGCGGGCTGGCACTCCTGGCTGAGAGAGCCCATTTATTATTAACCACAGGCACAGCTGAGCTCTGCAACTGCTCGCTGCCCGCGGTGCGGGGGGCCATTTTACAACGGGGCGAGGAAAGCTTCTGCGATTATTTTTGTTCAGACGGTGCCAGATTTCCCCCTTGCTCTTTAAAAGACTCTTCTCATTTTTCAGATTCCTTTGCTCTTAGATTGATTCTTTTTTAAAAAAAAAAAATTGGTGAATCCATTGCTCACTAAAACAATGCTTCTGCAAGACTGAGCCCCTTTGTACTTGTTCCTAAAAAGAGGACGAATTGCATTCATGCCTCCCTCACAACTTCACCAAATGCAGCTGTTGAGCTCCTTCTTCTCAAAGAGCTCTATCCAGCTCTTGGCTTCCCCAGTGAGGAATGCTGGAGGTCTAAGGACAGCTGTGGTGATACCCCATACGACACAGATGCCTGGTTACAGCAAGAACACGAGCTGTGTTCACAGAGAAAAACTACTGTGGTGTCCTCCTGTAAAGAAAATCTATTCTAACAGGTTTAGGGTGGCTTTGAATGAGAACTTTGAAATTAATGTATCATTGTCCCTTCATAAAAAAAGCAAGGATACTTTGAGATTCAATGCACAGATATTATGCATGTTTCAATTTTATAGTGTGCAGAAAGTATCAGAGGTCGGAGTTAAATAGCTACACAGGAAGGAATTGATTTATGGGATAAAAGACAAGACATGATTCTAGATTCTATGCAACTTCCATGCATAACATAAAACTCGCTAAAGCAATTGCTAATGTATTGCTGAAGTAATCAGCATCAGAGAACTGACCTTACTGCAATCCATTAACCAGGAAATTGTAAAATGTAGGTTGTTAAAGCAGTATTCACACTTTACACTTGTCCTTTTCAAATCAAGTTTCCTGCAACTTTTGTGTAATTTGGCTGTCATGACTGTCATCTTATTTTCTACATCCTTCCAATCTTTTCAACTAAACACATTCAAGGAAACTTCAAACAAAGCTTGCTGAGTTGCAGAGACAATCCCCCTCTGAATTCTGCTACGTTGTCTGCAGGGAATTTAATTGCAGGAATGATAGATTGCATCCTCAGATACTATAACTGGATGATGAAAATTTTATGAATGGTATCTTCTTCCTCGGGGGATGGGTAGCCAGATGTATTGAAAAGAAAATGTGCAGGCAAAATCACATTTTTGAAAAAATCCACAAATTATAATGGCATCAGTTTACTTTCAGTTAGTTCTATTTGGAAAGACTGCAGTAGTGTAGGGATCTATCTGGGCTATCAATTTTTTGACCTGCTACCAGCTGATGATTTAATAATCAAGCCAGTCAATCAGTTGTCAGCTCTCAAGATCAAGATCATATCAATATCATCTTATGCAGTGGGCACCCCGTTCAGTCTGCTGTATCACTTGAAATCATGGACAAGAGTGTGTTTGCTTTGGTCACCATTTTTCTCCCTAAAACAAGTGGAAAGCCAGCCTTTTGGATTTCTAGCTTAGCTTTCCAGTATGAACCTGCAGGTCTCTCAGAAAAAACAGGACCACTCAAGCAGCTCTGAGGGCACTCCTGTAGCCTTGTGGACATCCCAGGTTTTGGCTTTTTCTTTTGGATTTATTGCAGTGAAAGTAAGACCTTACTTACATGAGCAATTTTCAAGGGCTAACAGCATCTTTCCCTGTATAGAAAACCCACCTAAGCTTGTGTGCAGATCCCATCTGAACAGGTTTTGCTGAACAAAAACGAGATGTAAGGAGGTGTTAATTCAGCTCAGTTCTGTCTTGCCTTGACAGACTTCTATCTGTGATGACCTGGGGTGGGGACGGAGGGGTTTGTGAAAAATGACCCCTCCCTGAGTTATCTAAAATAACTAAATAGGGGACAAAGAACCGAAACCTGAATGGAACCAAAACCCAAATAACAAACATTTTTGCCTCGAATCTCATTTCAGCCACTATATTTTCTTGAGAATATTTATTTTTTAATTTGGCTTAGTTGGCCATTTGTGTACAAGGCATCCCAAAATTAGCAAAGAATAACAAGTTGGGTGCTCAAAGACAAACCTCACCCATGAAAAGATAAGGGGAAATCCCATCAAACCACCAAAGATAAACATTCCAGATAGTCCCATTTCCTCAGGCATACCTCTGCCCCCTCATCCCATCCTTACAGAATAAAAACTGTAAATTGTTTTTTTTCCCCAACAATACAGCTGGATTGTAGGAGAGTCTTCCCCCTTTGTTCAAGATGTGGGGTGAGGACACTTTCCCTTGGGATTTAAGAACTCTTACCTGAGAAAGGGTAAGTGATTAAGAAACACACTCGTGGTATTTGGTTATGCTTTAAGATTTTGATCAAGGTATTAATATCTAGCTCACTTGTAGTTTGCACTAGGACATTCTGGGAATCACTTAATAGTGGATCCTCTAGACTGCTTTTTGAATTGCAACGGTGCATTCTTCCGTTGTATCCATAAAACCTGCAGTAGCAACATATTGGACCTGTGAGTGAAGTTCAAATAAATTGTTAGTTTGAACCTTGCCGTGAAGTCTCTCTCTCTTAATCACAGTTTGCTAAACCAGGAAGAGAATGGGTTGGTTTGGTACCAGCCAGCCCTGTAGAGGCAGACTGGCTGTGCTGTTCCCAGCATGTTTCTGAAACGGGATACATGGCTGATGATGGTAAAGGGGCTTGGGTGAAGGGACCAAAGCACGCAGGTGACAGGGAGAAGAGAAAGCCCCGGAGAACTGCTGGAGAACGTTTTTGTAGGAAACGGTGGGGGATGCGTATAACTTGTTTGTCTGCTTGCCGCAGCATTAGCTGACTTTCCAGTCCTGCCTGCCTGTGGTGACACAGAGAGTTTGCTGCTTGTATTTCCCCCTCCAGGCCTCAGAAGTGGAGGTTAATATTAAACAGGTTGCTGGGTAAAATGGGAACGAATGGGAAGAGAGAAATGGCAAATTCCTCCTGCCTGCTGGGAGCTGGGCCCTCCGGCCACCCTTGCATTTCCATCCGTGAATCATTCCTACCTGAGTTACTATCTCCCTGGGAAACTTCTCTTTCAAGGGTGTTGCTACT